GAGGGTGGGGGTGGGGGTGGGAGGATAGATGATATAGCACTCAGAATAGCTCCGTGACCCAATCTGAGTGGTTAGCTCGATTACGACTTGTTCAGGGAGGCTTAACTTGTGCTCGATACACCACCTTGCCAAGAAGCTCGCTTAGGCGTCTCGGGTTACATGTCGGTTCAGTCAGAGAGCGTGGAGGTCAGAGAACCTCAAGAGCTCGGAAGTCTGAGGAGACCTCATGACCCTGATGTTGTGTAGGTGAAGGTCGTAGTTGCGACCTAGTTGCAACTCATGGCAAGTACGCGGTGAGGTCGTTTAGATGACCTAAGAGACCTAACTAAGAGTCGTATGGTAAGAGGGGATAGAATAAGGATAGAAAGCGTATTTTGCTAAGGAGTCTCATATTCTAAAGATGTAGTAAACTAGGAAAATTGATACAAGTTGATCTTTTCTTGCTAGGACTTTCTTAGGAATCAAGGAACCCTAGTACATAAGGGTGATTAGGTTCTATTCAATGCAACAATGCATACACACGTATTAAACACATATATTATTCGTTGTCTCTCACGAATAGACACTAACTTGAGCATCGAAGGTTTTCCGTCTAACTCTTCCCCGACATTTTGCAGGTTATCGGAGCTCGAAGTCGGTGACCGTTCATTCTATCCAGGATCAATCCGGCTCGATGGCAATTATTTATGTTACTTTGATTAACCTACGGAATAACTCATTTATTTTGGTTCAGTTTTAGTTTGGGTATGCACATAAAAAAATCTTGTATAATGCACAATAGTATAACACATGATGCACATTAGTGATTGTCATACTGCACAATAGTACATTAATTTATTCGAGAATGCACATAAGCATAACAGTGTTTTCCGCACAATGACCGCATGACAAAAAAAGAAAAAAAAAAATGCTAGTCAACAAATTTTGAGGCATCTACTGCTACCATCACTTTCCAATTCCCATCACCTGAAAGGCGAGAACAGAACCATATGAGTGTGTTACCAATGACGTAATCTGGAGCCAAAATGGTCAAATTATGTTTTCATCCTTCCATGTATATAAGAGTGTTATGCTGGTTGGTAATGGAATTGCCCCATTTACCCTCACAGTTTCTTAGTTTAGGCTCAGCTCCCTTGCTACTTTAAGAAAATAAAAAGAAAATATGCCGTCAATTATACGCGGGCATTAGCAAGATTCTCAAAGCTAGAGCTCGATCTCATGCTGTATTCTGCTACCAACTTCGCAAAAGAAGACGATTTGTCCTGCAGCAGCTTCTCCGGAGCATCATATTCCTTGACAAAACCTAAACAATGGAGAAATAAAAGACGAAACAAATTTTGAAATTACGATAAATTTGAGAGACGCTGAAAATTTGACGCGACATGAAATGAAGATTCAGGAAAATACCATTATCCAAGAGTAAAACCATATCACTGTCGAGTACGGAGGTTATCCTGTGAGCAATTGTTAGTACTGTTGAGTTTGTAAAATGCCGTTTGAGAGTCTGTTGAATAAGATTATCAGTTGCCGTGTCTACTGAGGCTGTGGCCTCATCGAGAACCAAAACCTTGCTTTTCTTTAGGAGTACACGTCCAAGGCACACAAGCTGCCTTTGGCCCACACTCCAATTCTCTCCATTCTCAGATACTGAAAAATATTCCAATACAGAATTTAATTTTCAACTCAGCTAAAATATTCTCTAACCAAAATAAATAAATTCTGGATAAATGAAAAATACCTGTGGAATCAAGTTTCTGGGGCTTTTTCCGGACCTCGTCCCCGAGCTGGCATTTTTCGAGAGCCTTAATATGAAACGAGAAAACTAATCAAAAAATCATCAAAACAAAATAGTTTCTTTTCATTTATTATCCTTTTGTGTGTCGTAAACCTTGAAAAAACGCACCTCCCATATTTGATCATCTGAATACTCCTCGAGAGGATCGAGATTGTTCCGGATGGTTCCCTCGAACATGGTTGGATCCTGAGGGATTATGCTCAATCGAGATCTCAAATCGTGAAGCCCGATTGACGTGATGTCTACACCATCGATCAATATTTTCCCGATTGTGGGCTCCACAATACGGAAGAGCGTCTGAATGAGAGTAGATTTACCACTTCCCGTCCTCCCAACTATTCCGGTCCTCTTCCCTCCAAAGAAAGTGCACGTTAGCCCTCGTAACACAAAAGGCATGTGAGGTGCATACCGAACCTACAACAATAAAGCAAACTCTCTTGATCAAGAAAAATAAAAAAAATGAAAAATGAAAACCCAAAAAATAAGCGCATATATATATATATATAAAATCACCTGAAGATCTTGAATATCGACTTCTCCGTGCAAGGGCCATAAACTGTGTGGCCTATTTTCCTCGACAACGAGAGGAGGTTCGGCTGGAATAGAAGTATACTGAAATATTCTTTCAACTGATATGATTCTGTTCTCCATGAAACAAAGATTCCAAACAACCCATGCTTGCAGCATGTTTAAGTTGAGACCGTACGTCACGGCTAACCCAGCAACACCTAACACACAGTCAAGAACAAAATGAGTTTAGTCACAAACACTTAAGACGTCAAAAGGCAGAAGTCTGAAAAAAATATATTGTAAGAAAGTTTGATCACTGACTAGGATCAATTGTTCCTTCTGGAATAGAGATCAACAAGATCAATGAAAAGGCAAATGTCATGAGGGACAACATGTCCAAACGAAGGCATAGCCACTCCATGGCACCAGATGTGTTGAATTTTGGTCTCGAATATCCATCAATTAATTTCATGCTCAAGTCACGGAATCTTGGCTCCTGATCGAAACATCTAATTGTGCTTGATCCAGAGATTGTTTCGGAGAAGTGCTGTATAACTGGAGCTTTTGTTATCCCACACAACCGAGCAAGTTCACGTGCTGAAGCTATGTAATACCGCTGCAAAAAGGAAGATAATTAATTAACAAACACGTTGATACATGAAAGCCTGTATTAGCATATAAAATGCCCAAGAAGAGGGTAAAAGACAACAAATAGAAGAAGACAAAATGAAAACCAGAAAACAAGTAAATGAATAAGGAAGAAGAAAAGAAAAATGTTGTCCGAAATCAAGTGCAGGAACTTTTGAAACTTACATCAGCATAGAAATCACTTCACTATAATTCAAATAATTTATGAGGGGACAAAAGTAATGTTATGATGTTTAGATGGCAAGTACTGATACTGTTGGATAGAAGATGAAGAAAAATTTTTACTAATCCACTGTTTACTACGTAATACTTAATTCCCTTATTAATATGTAGAAGGGTTTTAGCTGGTGGCATTGTTTCTTAAAAAGTACCTAATTCCAAAGCCAGCATTTTTGTTTCTTAAACATCAAGCAAACTTTCTGATCTCTTTTAAATTTGACTGATTTTACATAATAAATATGTGTGTGTGTGAGTGTGTGCCCATTCACGAAGAAAGTACTAGCAATTTCTTTGCTTGCTCCAAGCAAGTACACTCCTACGCATAACTCCTCAGCAATTGTGATTTAGTTCCCAGTGGTGAGTTCCTAGATAAAGAGAATGGAGGAATATTGAGGTTTACCTGTAACCATATGCAAACTGCAATCACAGGGAAAAACACAATGAAGACCTGCCATGCGACCTGCGACATTACAGCAATAATTCCCAAGAGCTGTATTATGGCAAAAGCAAATAGAGCAATTATAGATGCCGTGTTTAAGTCCACTGTGCTTTGGTCTGTAGATGCCTGTAAAAGAAAAGGAAAACTAGGGTAAAATATTACACCTGGAGATAATGATCTAAAAGAGTCATTAAAATCATAATCTTAACCTTCAAAATGAGTAAAAACGTCAATAAAAAAAAATACTAAAATCATGGCAGACAAAAAAAAACACATATTCACGTACTCTGTTGAGAATTCGTCCACTCGGGGTGGAATCAAAGAAAGACATGGGGGCACGAAATATGCACATATGCATTTTGTTGAAGAGGATGTTTGCAGTCTTGAAGCCAATAGTCACAACGACTAAGGCTCTGGCCAAAATGCAAAAGGAACTTCCAACTGACAAAGCAACATAAACAAGGATGAGAGTATATCCCGTGACATGAGGTGGCACGTCCTTCGACACAGGTGTTGCCCAAGCCATCCAATAATTGCTTCCAATCTGAAGTATTTGAAATACAATTTGGGCTAGCAATGCAAAAGGTGCAAGAAGTCCTCCATATGCTGTTCTGATATATTTCCAGTAAACTGATAGTCCAACACTTCCTTTCTCTCTTTCTTCTTCTTGGACAAGCTGAGCTTTTGCTTCATCACTACTCTCTACTTTGTCATTCTGAGATTTCTGTTTTTTAAGATTAGCTTTAGCATTTCCATAGCTAGTCTCCTCACCACTAGCTGTTTTGTCCATACCGATTGAGTCAAGAGCTGATAAAGCCTCCTCGTGGGCACCAACAAGTTCCATAAAGTCACTTCCAGATTTGAGAATGTCATTGTACTTGCCAGCTTGTTTAATTTTGCCATCTTTCATGACCTGTAGGGAAATATAAAAATTACTATAACCTTGCGAATTTGTGCTTGATTAAAGAATAAAAAATACAGAAGAAAAGGATGTTATATTAGAATAAAGAACAAAAAAATGCAAACGAAGCATCCAGGAAGATTCGACATTTCCCATCGGCGATGCTGATCCATTTCAGAATATTCTCATCTGACCTCGAAACAGTAGTTATTTCTAATATAAATTAAGTTAACAATATTCTAACTGAAGATCACTTAATCACACAATCGAGATCTCAAAATCTGTACCAGTAACAATACCCTTTCAAGACTTATTTCCTCCAACTTTTTATTTAGGTGTTTATCAATTGGCATGGAGAAGACAATGAATTAAGGAAGAAAAGTTCACCAGAATCAAGTCTGCAGCAGGCAGAAACTCCACTTGGTGAGTGACAAAGATAACAGTTTTGGAATCTAGAAGACCCAGAATGCATTCCTGCCATTAGAAACACTAAACATCAGAATAATCGGCTCATAAACAAGTCTCACTCACAACACATTAGAAGAAACAAGGAGATGCAGTGTTTACATTGAAAAGATGAGTTCCAGTATGTGCATCTACAGCACTAAATGGATCGTCAAACAAATAAATGTCGGCATCTTGGTAGAGAGCACGTGCAATCTGAATCCTCTGCTTCTGTCCACCACTCAAGTTGATTCCTCTCTCACCAATCACAGTCTGATCCCCAAATGAAAGAATTTCCAAGTCCTTATTCAGCGAACATGCTGTCAACACCCTATTGTACCTTTGTCTGTCCATCTCCTTACCAAACAGTATATTTTCCTCAATCTTTCCACTTTGTATCCATGGAGACTGAGCAACATATGCCTTTGATCCAGATACCCGAACTATCCCAGATATTTTCGGCATCTCCCCCAGTATACATGAAAGTAAGCTCGACTTGCCAGAACCAACTGTACCACAAATGGCTACCCTCATGCCATGCGACACTCTAAAATTAATATCTCTCAATATAGGACTAGGAGATGCTACGTCCCAAGAAAAGTTTCCGTTTATGACCTCAACAGCTGTATCCGAACTACCAACAGGAATCTTCTCCACAACATCTGACGGAAGGTCGTCGAGAGAAAGAAATGATGCAATTCGATCAAGAGAAACCTTAGTCTGAACAATCATGGAAATCGTATCTGGAAGGTTATAAATCGGCTCTTGAAGAATCCTGAAAGTTGCAAGAGCAGATAGAATCTTTCCAGACTCGAGCGGAATTCCCATCAGCATACATGCAACAAAAGTCACCACGGACACAAATGTAGGGGCACCCCAAAAGACAAATGTGGTAACAGCTGACGTGTAAAGATACTTTTTCAACCAACCCGTCTCGACATTCCTAAGGTCTAATATTTTGGAGAGGAACTTCATCTCCCAAGCCTGGAGTTTGAGAATTCTCATATTTCTCAAAACTTCGGAGGTCGCTTTCATCCTCTCGTCTTTAGACTTCATGAGCTTGTCCTGAAACTTCTCCTGCAAACTTCCTAATGGAACATTTGCTAACATCACCAAAACAGTAGCAACGAGCCCGGCTATCGACGCAAGCCCGACATCTTGATACAAAATTGCTAGTGCCAGGGCAACTTGTAGAATCACCATCCACGGATCATGCAAATACCACCCGAAGTCACCAATCCTCTCAGCATCAACAGACATGAAATTAATAATTTCTCCAGTCGTGTGCCCATGCTTTGACTGGCTCGAGAGGGTCAATCCCTTGTTATAGATTTTGGCAACTAGAGCAGCCCTGGCCCTGTATCCAGCCTGCTGCACCTTAAAAAACCAATGCCTTTGTGCCAAAGACTCGAATAATTTCGCTATGAAAAATGCAGAAACTAAAATGTAGCCCTCATTTTCGAAATTCCTACGCCCGTTCAAGTATTGAACAAAGGTGTCGATCAGGTATGGGCCGACATAAGAAGCCACCGTGTATATAAGCACATACACAGCTGATACCGTAATTTCCTTCCATGTGGTAAAAAACAATCCCTTAGCCAGCATGAGCGTGGTAACTTTATTACCCTCATCACGGTATGTCTGCAACTTAGAATTCAGAATTGGAAATGACCCTCGAGCAGTATCGGCAATGTCGAGCTGAGGGACATCCTCGAGGTCCAATGTTTTCTTGTACCCGAGTGAAATTAAAGGGCTCATCCAAGAGAAAGTAAAGAGGCTGATTATACCAGCGGTAGAGTAAGGAGTCACAGTTTGGTCACCTTGAGAAGGTTTGTCAGACTCCCTAACATTACTACTAACACCACCATTCAACAAGGGTTCTTGAAGAAAATTGTCTTCATCATTAATTTTACCCAAAAATCCAATGTAACAGAAATATAACCCCATGACCAAAGAACAAATATCAGAGGTCCAAAACAGAGCAGATAAATGATGGTGCTTTTCAAAATAAAGGAAGTCTATAACAAGGCAATAACAGGATATGGAGAAGAAAAGGCCCCACCAAAGCCTCAAAACAAGTGGGTACTTAGTCTCCCTCGAATTCAAGAAATGGATTTGCAGGAAAAGATAGAGAGCCAACCAAGCTAGTGTTTTTACCCCCAAATCCAGAGAAGACAGGATTTTTTCATCAGACCATCCACTTCTATACCAATAAAACAGATTTAATATGCATAATATGAGATTGTAGATTGAAAGACCCAAGCTGGAAAACAGAGTAGCCCTATAGTACAAAAGCCTTGTACTCCTACAATTGTTTGTCTGGCTTTCATCCCCATCCCTCCAATTTTTTTTGTGAAGCCATAATGTGAACACGATAAGTAACAAAGTTAAGTGGAGAAAAGCTGTGAAGAAACGCAGGAAAATTGGGTTAAGAAAAGCATCACCTCCCATGTCTTCGAACAGAAAAGAGCGGGACAGAGGAACAGGAACAGCCATACCAGTCAATACAAGATGATGAATTTTTGTTTATCTAATTCGTCGAGGATAAAAGTAACTGTTATTGGAGTAGAGCTGTGTTTCACTCTCGAGTGGAGTTATATATATATAGATGGGCTCGGCGGCTGCTAAAAGGGTTTTTAATACCAAATACCAATACTGTAAAACACTTTTGCAAAGTCAAAGAAATGGTTTTCAAACTTTTATTGGGAACGTGGAGGCCAAGGCAAAAAAGGGAGAAGGGACAAAAGACAATGGATTCGATGTGGGCAATTGGGGAAAACACAATTTGTAGCAGACAAAGTTCTAATCGCAAATTGCGATATGGACTTTTTTAATTCTAGCGACAATTTTTATAACGTTCATAAACCATTACGGAACTTGAAAGATGTATTTCAAAATGTAAATTATTTTTTCAAATTGAATGCTCAACTACTATCTAGATATTCTCTCCTAAAATCAACTCTAGTGCTATGCAATTTTTGTGCATATCACTTTGCGAAGAGTGGGAAGACAATGGATTTTGTAGGAAATTGGGAAATTGCAATTTATGTGGCTGACAAGATTCTACTCATAAATTGGTATGGCTTCTCCTAATGCTAATAATAGTTTATATTAGTGTTTTAGAAATCGCTGGCTAGACGTTAGACTAGCGCCGAGACGGGCCTAAAAATTAAGATTAAATATATTATTTTTAAATACATTATTTTTATGTATTTTCACTACATTCTACATATCAAATAAAATTATTTTAATTTATAATAAATTCACACACCTAAGTCTAAAATAATAATATTAATATATTATAAAGAAAATATGATAACAAAATAATATAATCGGTATTTAAAAAAAAAAAAAAAACTAAAAAATTGTTGTTGATCCCGCCTAGGAGCACCTAAGTCGCTTAGGCACTGCCAGCCGCCTGGTCCTCGAGCCCACCGAGGAGCGTATAGGTTTGCCTAGGAGGTGTATGGCCAATTTTTTCAACCGATTCATGCAAATCGGAGGTGGCTAGACGGCGCTTAGCAGCTATGCGGCCGCGTAGGCCAATTTTTAGTACAATGGTTTTTATAAAGTCCATAAACCATCACGATACTTAAGCATTGTATTTAAAAAACACAAATTATTTTTTTAAGTGAATATTTACCTACTATCTGGATACCCCTCCACCAACTCCAGCGTTGCGCTATTTTTGTGCATATCACTTTGCGATGAGGGACAAAAAAGACAATTGATTCGATTTGGGAATTAGAAAAAACACTATTTATATGGCATACTAGGTTCTACTCGCAAAATGCAATATGGTCACTCTCAACACAAACTTAAACGATATATTTAAAAAACACAAATTAATTTTTCAAAATGAATGCTCACCTATTATTCGGATATCGCTCCCTAAGACCAACTCCAACGCTGTGCAATTTTTATATATATCACTTTGCGAGGAGGAACGGAAGACAATTGATTCGATGTGAGAAATCGGGAAAAATGCAATTTAAATGGCACAAGGTTCTACTTTCAAATTGCGATAGTGAACGACCAATTGTTCAAGATCAACAAATTTCAATTGGCTCCAGGCGAAGATTAAACCAAGTTGACTAAAAATCAAGACTTAGTGCACCAATTTCAAATTCCCAAAAAGCTATTGGGCAAAATGAGAGGGTATAAATTAGTGTGTTAAAATTATAATATTTCCAAACATACCTAATTTAATGGGTAAAATGTAATTTTTGTGGTTTTTTTCCCATATAAAATAAAATGTCAAGGGTAAAAAAGTCATTTCAAGAGGCCAATTGGTCGAGTACTTTCCTTGTGCTAGAGATGATCACGGGCTGCCCGACCCAAACCCAGTCCGGTCAAACCTATGGTCAATAAGTTCGGATTCGGCACGATCAAGCTAGATCGGGGCTGTATATTTTAAGATAATGACCCATCGGGCGAGCCGGTTCCTGGTCGACCCAGAAAAAAATCAATAATTTTTATTTTTTTTTTGGGACGGATGTAGACCCGTAAGCCCGACCCGACCCAATGGATCATGAACTCGGCCCCTATCTAGATAAGGGCCGATTCCCGCCCCCAATTCTGACCCGTATTTGGCATGTCTACCTTCTGCTGAACAGAGGAGAGGAAAAATCCAAGGAGCTGTCAGTGGTAGCTCTCGGGCAGGACTACAACAAACCACGATGAGCTGAGCTTCTCCTCATCAGCTCTTGAAACTCCGAAGATTCCCTAGACTCTCCCTTTACCTCCCACCAAAAATTGGAATATCTGCATACTCCCTCCTTTTTTTTTTTGTTTTCCATTTAATTCCTATATTTTATCACACGACAATTTCATGGGCACAGCCGCGGCGGTGGCCGGCGCAGTTGAAATCTCGTTCGTCCACCGATCCATTTTCACTAACAATCCAAACCCTTCATTCCTCACTCCAGTAACGTCTATCTCGAAGTTTCCTCCCAGAAAATTCAGCTGTTGTACGCCGCCATACGCCTCCCCATTATTTTTGTTCAACTCAAATAGAAGGGCGTCCTTTCGATTCCCCTCCGTCAGAGCCTGTTGTCTGAATGATGATATCAGCAACTCTGCAGGAGCAGTTCGTTTCGAAGGTGTTTTAGCGAGGAAAAGTATATCCATTGCCGCCGCAGCTATTGGGGTCCTATTAATTTTTAGAGGGCAAAGGGCATTGGCAGTGGAGGGTGTTGTGAGTGCGAGTTTCGGAGCCTGGGAACGGGGCTTGTTGGCTTTGAGGAGCTCATGGCCTAAGGTTTTACAGGCTTTAACGATTTTTAGAGAACAGGGTTTGATTCTTGCGGCTCTACTAGGGCTATCAGCATTTTTCTCCATGGCAGAGACCTCCATCACCACGCTTTGGCCTTGGAAGGTATGGAGGAATTAAATCTGGGATATCTATGCTTGCGGATAGCATTATGTAGTTGTGGAGGAATGTTGCATTAGTTGATTATAGTTCGTGGGTACAGATTGTCATGGTGTATTTAGTGGGGCCTGGTGAAAGTGACATTCTGTTCTTTTTCCGATATCAAATCGTAAGGTGTTAGACTTTATACCCTTCCGGGATTGAAGCCATATACCTGTATGTCATCAGAAATTAGGAATGCACTTTGTCCCCCTTGGAGTGTGCTGCCTATTGTTAGATATACTATTTTAAGAAATCATGTGAGGGACTCAGTTCCACATAAATTATTGCTGGAAATTGGGACATGGGGCCTATTGTATATTTGATTGTCACTCCTTGATTCATTCTAGAATCAAGATTTTGGTATTGTCTCAAGTGATTGGAATCTGATGGAAGGACTTGAGTTGGTTTGTGGATAATATTTAGTTGGTAGGCAGTCATTGGTTAAATATGGTTTAATAAAATGTACACTCATGCTTACTGCTCTATTTTATGTTTAAAATGGTTCTAATTGACTGACACGAAATTAGCTCCTGCTGCTTTATGTGAGAGTTTATATTAAGCTTTCTTTCTATTCCTTCTATCTTTCCTATAGAATCAGTATTAACTGTTACTGTGAATGTGCTAATGTTGTACTCAATGCAGGTGAGGGAATTGGCCGAAAAAGAGTCCGAGAATGGTGTCTTCAAAATGCTACGAAACGATGTTACTCGATTTCTCACAACTATCCTCATTGGCACTACGTACTGCTCTTGCTAATTACTAGTTGTCATTTTTTTTCCCTTTTGAATGTGAACATGTTCCAAATATAGATATTTTATTTGCTCAGAGTGGTGAATATTGGTGCTACGGCATTAGTCACTGAAGCTGCCACAGCCATATTTGGTGAAGCTGGTGTCACTGCAGCTACTGGAGTCATGACAGTAGGTCCAGAACCTTTTGTTTTCGTTTTATTTTCTTATAAATTAGTAAATAATCATATATATAGCTGTTGATATGTTGTTGGAATATGGTAAACAGAATGTTGCTATTTCTGAAAGACGCCATGTGCATTTAGGTGCAACATTGTGGAGTACTGATTTCATAGTTCATTCTGTGATTCTGAATAATGTGTTACATATATGCTCATTTTACTTTACTCTTTTTTTTCTCCTATTTATTATTTACATTGTCATTACCGAATACTACTGATAAGTAATCTTGTTATTTAATTTAGCTATTCGTTATCTTTTCTAACAAAGTTGAGAAGTATTGTTATTATTTTAGAGTACCTCAAGCAGAGAAGGACTCCACTTATGTATTATTGATTTTCTTACACTGCTTAACATGCAGATGGGAAAACTATACTTGTTATTGTCGTTTTAGTAGTTATTATTTTTTATTTATTTTTCCTTCTGCTTCAAACTGCTTGGTAAGCCTGAAACTCCAGTGATGCCAGGTTGCTGTTCTGCTTCTCACTGAAATTACTCCAAAAAGTATAGCTGTTCACAATGCCACTGAGGTTGCAAGGTTTGTGGTAAGTTTTGAAGGGGTTGCAATTTTGACTTATAACTAAAATATGATCAAAGTACAATGCTGATATTCCTCTGCAATATGCCCAAAGAATCAAATTGAAGTAAGTGAAGAGAATTATGGTGCAAATTTACGTCTTACTGCAGCTTTTATAAACTGCTCTCTATTGCCTTTAGGTCAGACCAGTGGCGTGGCTTTCACTAGTACTATATCCTGTCGGCAGAGTCGTAACATATTTGTCAATGGGAATGCTGAAATTGCTAGGTTTAAAAGGAAGAAGGTGAGGTTTATCAATGATTAGAATTTCACATCTTTTACGTGCTTTCTCTGTCTGTTGTATCTATCAGGGAACTATAATCTCCTCAGTTGTCCTTATCTTAAAACTATGTAGAAGAGGTGAATTTTGTGAAGGAGAGCTACATTAATTTCGTTACAAGAGCTGTTAACATATAACTTAGCATGCTGGTATACTTGAAGTGTTCCTTTTTTTCATTTCTCCTAAAGAATTAGTTATATGCTTCTATTGATTATTTGTATCTGTCGCATTATGCACCAATAAGCCCTCATATAGTGCAGTTACAAGTTTGCTCTAACCAGTCATTCTTTTGTTCGACTTCCTGTGTTTATACATTTCTCTTATGAATTATGATTCCATTGGATTGCTTACCTTGTTTAGTGTTGTATATTAGTGAACCATATGTAACTGAGGATGAACTAAAATTGATGTTACGTGGAGCAGAGTTAAGTGGAGCAATTGAGGAGGAAGAACAGGTAAAAATTTTTGTTTTATCATGATGCAGGGACTAAGTTAGTATTTTGTGCTTCTCAATAGCTTTTACTGTCTAAAATGTTAAAGACGACATTTAATAATTTGCAGAGTTTTTTGTTTTAGCTCAAAAATGACAAATTGCATAATGCACCGAACATATTCGTAATGAACAAACTGAGTGTGTAGATTATATATTATTTACTTGTCATAGTTGGAAATATCTGATCTGAGATCCTACTGTACCAGGACATGATTGAAAATGTGTTGGAGATAAAAGATACTCATGTTAGAGAGGTGATGACACCTCTTGTTGATGTTGTTGCCATAGATGGTAGTGCAACACTTGTTGATTTCCATAATTCATGGGTGGAACATCAGTACTCCAGGTAGACCTTGGTTTTCTCTCGGTTTCTTCTTCTTCTTTTGATTAGTCTAAGAAGGTAATATGCTTGTAGGGTTCCTGTCTTTGAGGAGAGAATTGACAACATTGTCGGTATTGCATATGCAATGGATCTTTTGGATTATGTTCAGAAGGTAAGAAAAATTCTATTTGTCTTTCTTTTTTTCGGAGTATCGGCTAGCGTTTTCTCTTGACTCTACGCATAGTACAGAGTTATATTCTGTTTTGTTTTGAAGGGGGAACTTCTAGAAAGTTCAATTGTGGGTGATATGGCGCACAAACCTGCATACTTTGTTCCTGGTAAATTCCAATTTCTATTTTTCATATTAGCTTCTCAACTTGACTGGAGAACAAACTAAACACTTGCACCTTAGATGATAGTTTGATGAAGAGCTGTACTTCTATTTTAGTCTTCTTTTAGTAAGAAATCATTCAATAGTTATATCTACAGCACATTATCAAATGTCTGTTGTGAGAAGCATGGTAATGAGTTGCCATTATCTCTAGCTACATGTACGGTATTTGCCCATATTCTACTTTGGTCATGTCAAGAGATACAATTACATATTGATGCATATCAGCCTCTTAATTTGAAGTATTTTTGTGTAATAACTTAAATTTAATATCTTCTGTATCTACACATCATAAAAATTGCAGATTCAATGTCTGTGTGGAATCTTCTTAGAGAATTTCGCATTAGGAAGGTACACATGGCTGTTGTTCTGAATGAATACGGAGGAACTGTTGGTGTAAGCTATTTTTATTTTCTGTTTGTACTTTTAAAGTCCAATGGTTCCATTGATACATATAGGCAAACTTTTGCTCTAATCAAGTTTTGGTATAATATATATATTCATGTATTAACAGATTGTGACCCTTGAAGATGTGGTTGAAGAAATTGTCGGTGAAATTTTTGATGAAAATGATTCAAAGGTAAGTTTTTTCGTGAAATTTAAAATGAGGAGTGGTGACTGATGACGCACTTGAATGCTATTGCTCATTCAGGACACTAATTTCAAATTACCTATAAAATGTCACTTGACTAGAGGTAACTATTAGTTCATCATTCTACTTGAATAATTTCACTTAGTTTTTGTGGGTTCAAAATATAATCTGGATGCTCCCAGTGAATAATTACTTGATTGGAGGAATCTTGCTCTCCAAAGAGTAAAGGTTTCAAGTTACGGCTTCAACCACCTAGTTGTTATGTGCTTATATTATGTTGCATACACTGATTAGTAATACTGAAGAAGTCTTCATAGTTAAACTTGTACAAGTGCTTCACCTTGTATTTTTGCACTGTGCCAGGAGGAAATCCAGAAAAAAACTGGTTATGTTGTTATGCGTGCTGAAGGCATATATGATGTGGATGCTAATACATCTATCGACCAGCTCTCTGAAGATCTAAACATTAATATGCCAGAGGTATTATAATTAATGCTTCTACAAAGCATTCATTTACATTGATAATTATTTGGAACTGGGGCACGAAATTCTATATGCCCACACTTGCGACAATGCATGCATGAGTACATGTGTTCTAGGTAGAGCCATCAAAAAGGGCCCCAATATTCGAAACTGTATTCAAAGAGATCAATGTACCATTAATGTAAAGTACATTTCATACTACTGAAGCTGTTCTCTCATGCAGGGTCATCATTACGAAACAGTGTCAGGTTTTGTCTGTGAGGCATTTGGATATATCCCAAGGACAGGTGAGACCATAAAAGTGGTCCTTGAAAGAGCTAGTCAAGAAGATCATGGTGATCATAATGGAACAGAATCCAAACATCAAGATGAAACCGACAAGACTCAAATATTTAAACTTGAGGTATATCATATGTTTTCTGATTTTTGGATGATTAGACAAAACACGTGTGCTGATCACTACGTATACAAAGAAAAGCATATATGAGGACATCAATATCTGTGATGTGTTGAAAATTGATAAACCAAATTCTATAATTTCTGCTATTCACCGGAAAATGTCCTTTTTTCGGCTGGCACCATTTTTTTCCTTTTGAGCTGCCCTATATACATCTTGTGTTCTTCTTCCCTCATAACAATGAGTATGAATGAGACAAGTACAGGCACCCTTAAAGAAAGCTTGTACAGTTAGTTTGTTTGACTGACTTAAGAAGAGCTCTCCTAAGTACTAGTAATGACATTCCATTTGATTGCTGCAGATACTAGCTGGGAATGCAAGAAAGGTTAGTGCTGTTCGGTTTGAACGAATAAGCACCGAACAGGCTTCGCCAGGGGCCAAAGACGTTACTCGTCGGGTAACGAAAATTCGGAAAAGGAAATCAGGCAGTGATGACAAATTAAATAGGATAGAGGGTGATAGGGTTCCATTTCATGAAGTACAAAACAATTATGCAATGTCTGTACAATAACACAATAACAAGGATCAAGCAAGCATTCAGTAGTTGTATTTATTAAACGACGAAAACACAAAAAGGAGAAAAGAAAAGTGAACTGAGTGGTCTCATTCCTCGTTCTTTTTCCTCATGAGCTGTAATGAAAGAGAGGAGAAATTTTGATTTATAAATTTGAATTATGTATATAATTGATTTAAATATAATAAATATGCACTATGATGAACTAAATATGAATTTCGTATAACTAAATACGACTAATGAATGAACTAAATATTAATTATATATATAATTGAGTTAAATATAATAAATATGTACTCTGATAGAACTAAATATACATTTCATATGAACTAAATATGCATAATAAATGAATTAAATATGCATTATGTATATATATTTAATTTAATTATAATAAATGTGCACTATGATAATCCAAATATGTATCTCTTATGAACTGAATATGCATAATGAATTAACTAAATATACATTATGTATATAATTATTTTAAATATAATAAATATATACTATATAAATTAAATATGTATTTTTTATTATCTAAATATGCACAATAAATGAACTAAATATGTATTATGTATATATTTAATTTAAATATAATAAACATGCACTATGATGAACCAAATATGCATTTCTTATTACCTAGATATGCATAATGAATAAACTAAATATGCATTATGTATTACATTATTTATATAACAAAAAATATTATATCAAGTTAATTATATAATAAATATACATCAATAATATCAACTAAGTATGCACTGTTTATGAATTAAATATGTACTATGTATAAACCAAATGCGCAATTTGCATGAACTAAATATGCATCGCGAATATGCAATTAAATGCGTATTTTATATAGTTAGTTTAAATATAATAATTAATATTTTTATTATATAGTTAATGTGAATTTCAAAATTAATATGATCCATTGATGTACACAAATAGATGGCTATGATTGGACCTCATATGAACTTAATATGCACTATGGAACTAAATATGAATTCCTTATTACCTGAATATGTCAAATGAATAAACTAAATGCGCATTATTTACAACTAAATTATGCATTGTGTATTATCTAAATATGCACAATAAATAAACTAAATGTACATTGATTATATAATATAAAAACTCAATGGTCATATTGTAGTTATTCAAAATATAAATAAATTACAGGTTGATCCCAATGGATCAAATTGCAATAAATTATAAGTTTGTGACATTGCAACTAATCCACATAATTTATCTAATTCTAAAAGGCATGCCCCTATGCCCTAATTAATTTTCAGCCCCAAATAGGCCCGATTTCGGCACCATTCACACCCAAATTCAACAGCTCCGACGACGTCAGCGACGACGGTGAGAGGGCAGCGACGTCTGCAAAATTCTTCCATGTCGCGTATGCAAAATCATCCATCTCGCTACGAGCGTCTGCAAAATTTGTCCATGTCGCGTCTGTAAAATTTGTCCAGCCCTCGCCAATCTGCCGCGTTCACCTTCTCCGGCCGTTCGACCAGTCGACCAAAAATTGGTCAACGATGACAATTGAGCAGCCCAATGCCGGAATTAAGTAGCCTTCCTAATCTGATTCTCCAGGTCGTCGGCCGAATAACAAGATTCTCCATATCGTTGGCCGACAAGCTTCTCGGATCTGTTGGCTGGTCACTCCGTCACCGACGAGGTCCTGGCCGAGCACGCCGGTTGGAAAAACGAGCTACTCGATGTTGACCGGTCAACGCTAGTCGGCCGGTTGGAAAAATGAGCTACTTGATGTTGACCGGTCAACGCTCGTCGGCCGACGGTTAAAGTCGGTTAACGAAAATAAATAAATATATTTATTATATAATTAAGTAAATATAATAATTAATATTTTTATTATTTAATTAATATATATTCCAACTTATTAATATGATCTATTTGATCTTGATTTTAAGATTGAGTTTGGCATACTTATTTTAAGTAGTGAACTCATTTTATCCACTCTATATATATATAAGTATTTATACCTAAAAGTCAAGTATTTATTAAAATATTATATTAAGTTTTTCACTGCAAAATTATTAGGGAATTTTTTTTTAACCTCTCAAAGTATACCATTTTTTAGAGTTTGCCATACAAACCATTTTTTTTTTTACAATTTGACTCCTAATGTAATCGAAACTGACAATTTATCTTCTCGATGAAAACCCTAATATGACACAAAAGATTTTTTAACTCAGTTATGATGAATTTTAAATTAATCTCTAAAATTAATTTAGGTTTTTAAAGCCCATGGCGAGACAACAAAATGAGGTATGGTTTGTCGATTTCTGAAAATTGATACCTCTAAAATCGATCCACGAAGATAGCAGGAGCACCTGTGTATAGAAAAAAAAATTCAATTCATGTTTTTTGATAATCAAGATATCCGATTTTCGATTAGAATGTGTCATTTGAAAGCTTGGAGGACGAGTTTTCTATCGAAGTAAATCTTATGAAAATGCAACAGTCGGATTTTGGTTAGTAGCCTAAAAAAAAACTAACTATTGATCAGTAGTTTTCTAAATACTGATCGAAATCCGACTGTTGAATTTTCATAATATTTACGTGTTAGAAAATTGGTCCTGCTAGCTTTTAAATGACACCTCCCAATAAAAAATCCGATATCTTAATTATCAGAAAACTTAACTTGAATTTTTTTCTATACACACATGCTCCTACTATCTTCGTGGATTGATTATAAAGGTATCAATTTTCAGAATTCGACAAATCATACCTCATTTTGTTCGTCTGGCATGGGCTTTAAAAGCCCTAAATCAATTTTAAAGATTAATTTAAAATTCATCATTAATTTGAATTAAAAACTCTTTTGTGCCATATTAGGGCTTTCAATCGATGAGGCAAATTGTCAGTTTCGATTACATTGGAAGACAAATTGTCAAAAAACAAAGTTTATATGGCAAACTCAAAAAATGGCATACTTTGAGAGGTTAATTTTTTTTTTTTTCGAAATTATTATTAAAGTAAAAAAAAATATATATATGTAAAAATAAATGTATAAATTAATGTGAATCAATTTTAAACTTGTGTCGTTTTAAAGATATGATTTTATTTACAAATTAAATTTTATTTTAAAAACATTATCAAATCTTTTACTTTTAACGTTAAGTATGAAACAAAATTATAGTTATTAATTATTAATAAAGAAGGAGATAACAATATAAATTAGGAGTATTATTAAATAATTAGTTAATTTTTAATTAAACAATTAAGAACAATACTTATTTTAAAAAGAACCAAGTGTGCACATAACTTTTACCCGAGTGAGTGTGCGCATTATCTTGTTGGGATCGTTGATTCTTTTACTTGGGAGTTCTGTAGTTTTGTTGTGCTGTGTTGGGTCGTGTAGTGTGTGAGTGTGTTGGTCTAACGTTGCTAGATAGGCTCTAGGCGATCTCCGGATCTGTTCTTTCAATCTTTTATTTATTGGTTGTATCTCTCAGCTTTTGGCTGGTTTTTCTGCACTTTTATGCGTTTCATAAAGCCTCTATCGTTCCGAAAAAAAAAAAATTGTGCACGTAACTTATATTCTTAACTTTTACATCATTGAAATAAAAGCAAAAGGTTAATAAAATTATTTTAATTGTTATTCACTCTCAAGTCTCAACGTAATTTAATTAGTTGTTTCATACGGGCTAAGCACTGAAATATATATATATATAAAAAAAAAAACCAAGCAAAATACGGTTTTCCAACATATAATCCGTAAACCGGCCGCCATCAGTCCGCTTCAAAATCTAGGGTTTAATTTGCGGCGTGGGTATGGGTGTGTATATATATGTACTCGTAAGTCGTAATTATATTCGCGCTCACGGCCGCTTGTGAAGAATTTAGGAAATGGCGTAAAAGCACAGAGTATTTCAAGCCTATTTCTATTTTGTTAAAAAAAAAAAGAGAAATTATTGTTCTGTTCTTTGTACAAATTTGGGAAATGATGAGAATCTGCGATTCAGAGGCTCTGCTCTGCTGAATTTATTTCATTTGCACGTCAGTCTGATCCCAAATCTATGTGTTTTATTTACTTTTATTTTCTTATAATTATTTTTGTATTGTTAATGTTGTAATATATACTATTTTGCTCTAACTCGACGCCGCTGGCCTCAAAAAGCAAAACATGAAATTGTTTGACCAACTTCGTTTTTAGTTCACCATTTTTGGTGTGTTGGATCTTTATTGGATATATTTACACGTGAAGTGTTATTAGTATTGGATATCTTTGAGATGAGTTCCAAAGATCTGGATATTGAGATGAAAATTGAGGGCAACCGAAACTTTTCAGCACAAGAATAAGAAGAAAATGGAAATTTCTGGGATACAGGTGTGTGCGTGTGTGGGTTTCTGGTTAGATGTGTGCTGATGATGACTCCTTTCTTGTTTATCCTTTGTTGATGGCGTTGTTGCAGGGGTGAGGTTGATCGGGAAGGTAGATAATTTGACAAATTCATGGCTCTATGTAGCCCTTCGAGCTTTTTTACGATTTGTTTTTTTAAACAGTGGCTAAAATATTTTTCAGAACAGTTTCATGTGCCTTTAATCCGGAGCAATCTGAAAAAACTAAGCATTGCTTGTAAGACGGATTAAAAAAAAAATTGTATGTCTTTNATCGGTAGGACATCTCATTAACAAGCCAAAAGGAAGAAAATTCAAATACACATAGGCTAGACACACAACCAACAAATCCAAATTCAAATACACATAGGCTAGACACACAACCAACAAATCCACACCAAAGGCAGAGAATACAAACTATACACATAGGCTAGACACACAACCAACAAATCCACACCAAAGGCAGAGAATACAAACTATGAAAAAGATAAGACAACAAAACAAAATAAAGATAACTAAGCCACTGAACTACAAAAATAGACCTAGTTAAGTAATCCTCCCCACTGACTCCGGCCACTCTGCCATTGCTCTGGTTATTATTCCTCTCTTCGGCATCCAAGCCTTTTCAAAAACTCACAAGTTTCTTGACTTCTATAGCCACCAAAGAATATATGTGGTCAACTCAAATCTGGCTTTAGCTACTCTTGGATTTATCAATATAACAGATTGCTCCCCACCAGGGCCGTCTCCAACATTTTTTGGACCCAGAGCGAAAAATAAAATTAGGCCCCCCTAATTACAATATTGAATAATATATTTTTAATATTTTATTAATAACAACTTCCACTTCTCAAGTAGAAAAGAACCTCCCCCCGGATAGACAAAACACAAAAGGCTCATTCTATATATTATTATATTTTTTATTTATATTATTATATATATAATATTTTAATATTTATATATGGGGCCCCAATTAATTGGGGGCCCTGTGCAGTTGCTCACCCTGCTCCTCCCAAAAGCCGGCTCTGCCCCCCACCAATCTCCAAACTTGCAATTGTCTACACTGATCCCAAGTTTGATATCTCTGAAATGATTTTAAAAGGATTATTATGTTAAACTTTGCAAGTGGATTAAATTTCAACATAATAATAATGCATTGAATGTTGCTAGCTTCGGTTCAAGAAGTCAATTAATTTAATTGTCAGTAATTAAGTTAATTGATTTATATTGTAAACATGGGAAGGTAATTTGAGTAATTTAGAAGTGGAGCTCAAATCGTAATTTCAGAATTTAAATTGAGAGATTTTAATAATACTAATTTAGTAGAATGATTGTACTATGCGTTTTTGGGCTAAGTAATTACAGAAACTCAACTTAATGCCTTTTTAGGGTTCTTATTGGATCCTATAAATACACCGCCTCTCTTATGTTGCAAGACATCCCAAACACTTAAGACTTAAGAGAGATCTAGATTCTTTTTACCACCAAGGGAGTTCTAGAGGTGTTAGGTAATTCAATATAAGTCTTTAAGGTAGTCGACCAGATGACCAATTGGCCGAGCATCCGACCACCGTCGGTTATCGGCGCAACCTAGCGACGTATGCCCTGCCGCACGCGAGTCCTAGCGACCCGCTCCCGACGATCACGTCACGCATGCAACAACCCAACGCGACCCGCAATGACCCGTTGTTCTCGGCGCTCCATCCCTATGAACTGCTACCGTGTATGCTGAGATCCGTGAGACTCCTGCGACCAGTCCTGCTGCACGCTGCGACACGCTCGATGCGAGCACTGTGCGACCAGCTCCCGACGACCGCATGTGACCCTAAACGTCCCCGACAAGTGGAAAATCAGACGATCTCCATCAACTGAAATCTACAATATCTTAGAGTTTGCAAAGTTTTGAGTTGTAAGTCTTCTATCTTAACCTATAGATCCACTGCACATAGGTTACTTCGTAGATAAATTTGTAACTTGCAGATTAACGACGATCCTTTTAAATCCCAACACATTTTTGTGTGTGTTGATATTTTTCAAGATTCACTTGGATTGATTTTATTCGTAAAAAATCAACAATTGGAATCTTTAAAACACTTTGCCTCAGACTTGAAAAAGAAAAAAGGTTTATAATTGGTATTCAGAGTGACCATGAGCGTGAATGTGAAAATAGTAATTTTGCAGACTTTTATGACTCATATGGTATCTTTCATGAGTTTTCTGCTCTTAAGACATCTTAGCAACATGGTGTAGTAGAAAGAAAAAATCGTACGCTGCAAATATGGCTAGGGTGATGCTGAATTTAAAAGAAACCTCTCGACGTTGGTGGGCTGAAGCCGCAAACACAACATGCTTCATCATCAATAGAGTGTACCTTCGTCGAGGTATAGGTATCGC